ATATATATAGCATATATATAATATTAATATTATTATTATTTCACTATCTTGTTATTTAGTAAAAATTCGAGTGATTTCTTTGAATGAGGAACTCAAACCAACTGAGAGGAAAGTTCGCTTAGACGTTATCACACCTAAAGGAGCAATCATTGACCGACGAGAGGACCTCACCACAGATACAGGATATATTACTGAGATTTTCCCATTTTCTTCATACCCCACATTCGGCATTTGGTCTGTTGTTGTATACTATGGTTTAAACGTAAGTTGAACAATATTTATAAATATTTTGCTGGTCGCATAAACAAGATAATAAACGATTATATTTTGCGCCTTCTATTACTTCCAATTCAACCCAAGCTTATTTAATGATTATACTTTTTTTTTAGTATAACTGGAACAGCACTGTCCAATTCGAACTCAGAGAATATGGTAAATGATACAGTTTACTTACAGCATATAATTAGTAATAATGTATAACGTTAATAATAATAATAATAATAATAATAACATTAATTATAATAAATTTAATAATAATAACAATAATAATAAATTTAGCCACTGAAAATAGATTAGTTATTGGCAGTCATTAACTAGATCTAGTTGGCATATTACTTAAAGGTTAAAGGTTATTCATTTATAAGGATTGATTTATAATGACTTCTAATGATTTTTATATTATATTGTGTATACATCCTAATTGACAAAAATTAGTATCTTATAAATATTCTTACTAATACTACTATAATCTATTTCTAAAGATAAGATAATAATAATAATAATAATAATAATAATAATAATAATAATAATAATAATAATACTATTATTAATAAATGTAGCCACTGGAAATAGATCAGTTATTGGCAGTCATTGCGTATTGTTTCTAATAATTTTGATATTTAAAATTGTGTATACGTCTTAATTGACAGAAATTAGTATCTTATAAATCTGTATGAAATACTTGGCACCAACTAAAGGAAGTTGGTAGTCAGACTTCAAATGTGAATTAAAATTCATCGTATCAAAAAATATAAACAATCTGAAGTTTACACACACATTTGCATTGACTTCATCAACAATAATTGTTATTAGTCAATGTTTTATCTTTGGTTTTATTTTGTACTACTACTGTAACAACGTTCTTAGCTACTGATATTTGACGTACTGTATTATATCACATTCCTGACATTATAAATAATTATTATCAATTTTGTGTTTACAGTTTTACCAACGTTTGAGGTAACCATTGATGCACCAAATCAAATACTGCCTTCAGACAACTTAATTACTGCAGTAGTTAAGGCAAGGTTAGTCGAACTAACTGCGATTTTCTCTTTTTGCTTGTTTCAATTATTACATTATTTAACAATAACAATTTGAAAATTTTAATAACGACGAAAAGTATATACGATACAGTTAGTACATAGACAGGGGGCATCCCCAACATTCTCAGTTGAGCAGGCTTATATGCTACATACAAGGCTGACCCCTGTCAGGTATAGCAGGAGTATGTTGCTGTTATTGAATTTTAACCATAAAGCAAGAGTACAATCTATTGCTTTTAAAAAGCAGGAGGAGTTAGATATTTTTTTTGCGCTCCCGAAAACAAGTTAAAGGATATGTCAACACCACCTGCACTGAAAACTGCTTCAGTTCCGTTTGAAGCAATGTCGTACAACTTGCTGTGTGGAATCCACAGTCGATGAGTTGCTGATAATGGCATGGACGTTAATTATCTAATCGAGACAAGGCTTCTTGAAAACGATAGTTCTATCATTGAGAGGCCCGTGAGAAGGCTGTTCCATACATTTCCTCGGTTTACAAGTAGGGGTGGCGGAGTTGTTGCAGTTTATTGCCTTCTCTCCGTATTTAGAAAAATAGAAAAGTTTCGCTCTTTCGAAACTGATACAACTATATTTAAAGTTGCCAGCTATGTAATCGTTTTTAGACGATTATTATTATTATTTAGACGTTATAAGTCATTATTCATTAACTGCAAATCTTGTCATTACAGGTGACTTTAATATACACATTGATGATTCTAGGACTCCACATATTATCCAGTTTCTTGATAAATTCATTCACTTAACCTCACTCAATTAATAAATTCTGCTACTCACAAACGTAACAGGGACTTGCACCCGCCCTCAGTATTAAATAATTCTAATCTCTGTCTTTCAAATTTTAAAAATATGAACACTACAATATCACAGTATTGAGGAGAGAGATGAACTGGGTCCATTGAAATATAAGACTACCTCAACTCATAGTTCACCGACAAATGTAAAATAGCCAAGCAAGAAAGACATAGAGCCGAACGCAAATGGCTGAAATCTCAACCTCGATGTGATCTTGCCCAGTACAGGATTCAATTTAATCCTTACCATCGGACGCTTCATGTAGAGGCAAAGTTAGCAGGACGTATATTGGAAGTGAATCCGGTACTATCTACAATATCCACAGTTTCTACGCGGGATTCTACAGATATCCGTAAGATCCAAGTCCAAATTGACAAGTTGTCGTCACTCTTAGCCATGGGTGGACCTGGGTTCAAATTTAGGGGGTGGGGTCAAAATGTTTTAAAAAAGTCTCAAAAATATAGGGGGTCCGGGGATTTCCCCTGGAAAATTTAGATTCCTAGATGACAGGAAAAGAGCTTTCCTGACTTCTGAGATGTCTTTTAATGACTTTTAAGTCTTTAAAAATTCAAGATTTTCCCCCTCTTGAAAATGATCATATAAACTTTCTCATTCTTACAAGTTATTGATTTCTTTTTTGTATAAATCATTGGAATAAAAACGGAGTACTTACTCGGACGTTTCGAATTGTATCACAAAACGTCCCAGTAAGCACCCCGTTTTCATTCCAATGGTTTTTACAAAAAAGAAATCAATAACTTGTAACATACTGAAACCGGATGAAATTTCCTGAAGTTTCTCATTCTTATTGCAGTAAATAGTCCTATTATGTGTGTATACATACATGAAAAAATGAATAATTGCATACGTATTCTTTTTCCATTAATCGATAAAACCCAAAGAGAAAGGGAGTCCTAGGTCTTCCCCGGGGAAATGATTAATAGATGGCAGGAAATGAGCTTTTTTGAATTCTATTTTTCCCATTGTAACAAAAACAATTTCAGCTCACGGATCCCGAAAAGGTAGATCTAAGAATATTTTTTCCTTTGATTTTTTTAAAATATTATTTTTACCTAAGGAAAGGGGGCAGTCAGGACCCCTGTCCCCATATATGCCAGTGGGTAGCTGATCTGTGTGAGGATTAAAACCGACGTAGATCCTGCTCCCTATCTCGACGCAGACAGTATCGGCGCCTACGAAGGCCTTACTGGATTAACTTCGCCAAATATCTGCTGGTATCATGACAAATATTATGTAGCAACGAACTGCACCCACCCCTGAAACTACAAGCCTAAAACCTGAGCCGCCGAGAGCGGCATCGGGCCCGGGGTACCTCAGCTGCCCGGGCCCATTGGTTGGGGATCTGGGGGGCTTCTTGAAGCCCCAGCGTAATCGAGGGTCAAATCCCGGTGCCCCCCCCCCCTTTCGGAAGCTACGGCCATTTAACGGATTAAAGGACTAATTTAATCGATTATAGAGTGCCTAATTTCATCAGGTCATAAAAAATAAAGTAGAGAAACAAGAAAAGTAAAAGCTATCCTTCCTTTTATTCAAACGTGCTGAAAATATTCGTAACATAGGCCTAGATATCAGAATTTACAGTGGCGGATAGGGGAAATTTAAATAAAGGGACAGAGAGAAGGACTTTCACAATGGACAATGGATTCTTTTGAAAAGAAAAAAACACATGGATGACATTGGATGAATGTATACGTTTAATAATTTTTATTTATTTATTTTATTATTTTTTTACCTAGTTATCGTGGGCCCCTGCACTTGCTCTGGTTACTCCGGCCTCTCGACGCCACTGCCTAAAACTAGTCAGAGAAATGACTGAACCAGTGACTAGAAACGACTTGTCACTTACAGGACAAGGTACCAGATTTTTGGTAGACACATGGTGCTGCCGTTAGCGTGTTTCTATCTACAATTCGATGTAGTGACACAAATTCAGCAATTAGCATACAGTTCAAAGCTCTCAACAAGGATTCCATGGTCATGGTCGACTCTGCCACACGAATTATCGCAGCAGAACTTCTGCGATGGTTTAGGTTTGTTAGTGAACATCACCAGCTATGTGATACCACTACTAACGTTTCTGACAAAGGTCACCACCGTCAATACGCTTCACCTTCTGTCGTCAGTTCACTGATTGCAAAGGCTTCTAATACGCGTTTTGATGCAGTTCTTCAGCAGTATTTTTAACTCACCAAACCTGTTACATACAACTTCGTTAGGCATTCCTGATTGCAAAGGCTTCTAATACGCGTTTTTATGTACTTCAGCAGTACTTTTAACTCGCCAAACCTTCTTTCGTTACGCATTTTGTGACTCACCACATCATGGCAATAGGTCAGCCTGTAGTAAAATCCCTTCCTAGTCGTCTTGCTCCTTATTGTTTACACATTTCCAAGGCAGAATTTGTGCATATGCTTCAACTAGGCACTATTCAATAATCAAGCAGCTACTGGTCATCCCCCTTCATATGGTAGCGAAAAGGAATAAAACAAAATTACAACTACAATTGTTAGTGTTAAGGCTAAAACTATTTTTTTTAAATCAATACAAATCAGTAAGTACAGCCAAGGGTTCTTATACATTTTTACCACTCGTGAGTGTATCTCAGTTTCCTATTCTCGCAATGTATTATCAATAAACATTATGCTCTATAGTAACTTTAAATGATGGTCTTGTTTCTGTTAGATATGTGTACAAAAAAAATGTGAAAGGCACAGCACAAGTAAGAATGAGTGTTGTAAAAAATGGTGAAACAATAGGTGAATTTCCAGCACAAGCGGAAGAAGTAAGTGCATTATAGTAAATAGGCTTTTATTTTGTTGTTTTTTATTATTATTTTTATTTTGGGTGGGGTGAAGTTTCCAATTTAAATTTATTCATTCGATTACTCACAATCTACGATTGGAAAAGAAAAGAAAGGTTACCTCATTAGTAATTGTCATGCTATACTTTAGGTAAGACATTTCTCCTCAAATATAACATCACCCAACAAGAAAACTTTTTGAGCATCTTCTGCGCTAAGAACCGGTGCAAATATTTTAATTTTAACACTGTTTTTAAAAAATAATTATTCAGTCATGCGAAACACATTTCCGAACCGTTTTAACCACTTGAATTTAAGTTGTTTTTTTAAATGAAAATCTATAAATGAATTAGAGGCATTAGAAAAGTTGGAAAAACATGATACGATTAAGTAGTCAAGGTTTCACAGCCTTTTATGTTAACTACAGCGCGATTTACCATTCCCTTGGAAGTTGCCAAATGGCATAACTGGTACAGATGCTACTATTATAGTTCATAATGTAATGAGTTCTATTCGGAAATGTTTCCAAAAAACCAATTAATTTCGTCACCTTAACTTTTTACCTCTTCAGCACTTTATGTGGCTTGACTTTTCTCTGAAAATAGCGAACACATCAGAATTATGCAATCTTATATCATACTATTTACTCTTTTCTTTCATTAGATATATAGGCCTATTATACCCGTCCATATTTTCTAATTTCATTTTCACAAGTTACTGGGCAATCAGTTATTCTCTGTTTTTTCTTAGAACATTATTTCTAAGACATAGTGTATTGACATGACACAAATGTCTACATTTCAATCTATCATAATAATAGTACCGGTAATTAATATTATTATTATTTTTAATATATATATATATATAATTACTATTACTATTATTATTATTATTATTATTATTATTATTATTATTATTATTATTATTATTATTATTATTATTATTATTACTGTACTATGTTATTAGTGTTACAGTATTACATACTTATGTTTGTACAGTGGGATTATGAGTGCGCTTGAGTGACAATATGTTCCTAAAAAGGCCTCAGTATTCATAATTTTGTAGAAAATCGCCTACTTATAATAATTTTAGACATGTTCATTTATAATAAACAAGGGGCTCAAGTCTGTTGGTGTTCAACCCTATACTCTCCTAAATAAGGTCACTGCTATAATAAGACTTTATAATAAACAAGGGGGTTGAAGGCTGTGGGTGTTCAACCCTATATTCTCCATCAAAAGGTATGTAAGGCTTGTAATTGTTGGTGTTGTGCCGAGCATTAGACATCGCAAACCCTGGACGTGCAAACGGCAGCAAGAAACTCCTACCTATCGGCACTGCCTCAAACGTCCAGCAAAAAAAAAAAATCAAAAAAAAAAAAAAAAAAATCGCGAGCCGCCGTACATAAATTATGTAGTTTCTACGCATGCGTTAGCATTTTGCGTCGTAACCGCGATCAAGATTGTGAATAATAATAATAATTTATTTGAACGTACACTTTTGTATCAGTGGCACACGCCAACTTTGCGGTGCGTTCAGAAACTACTATACTTACTATTAAAAACGAAATCCCTTATCACTGAATCACCAATTAACAGTGTTGTAATAATAATAATAATAATAATAATAATAATAATAATAATAATAATAATAATAATTTGGATTTGTAGGGGTAGGAGGCGTGGTGGCGTCAGCAGGGGTGGCGCCAGGATTTGCCCAACGGGGTGGCCGAGGTCCCCGACGGGGTGGGGGCGGTGCCCCCGACGAGGTGTCAGATTTCCCCGACGAAAGCAAAGTGGGCGTGGTCGAGCTTCGATTAAAAGGTTCCAAAAGCAGTCCTGGGGGCGAAGCCCTCGAAAATTTCGACAATTTGGGGGTTTCAAAGGCTTATTTAATCGATTTTAGAGTCTACTAATATGTAAATATAAATATAATATTTTTTTCTCCCTGACGAATTGTGCTTTTTCTCCCTGACCGGGGGTGGAGAGGCAGCTCTCCCCGACGGGGGCCCTGGCTGTCAGTTGTGGCCAACCCTAGGCGTCAGTTGTGGATGGATTATCTCTACTGATTTTGTCCGCTAGTGGGCTTATTGATATTGGTTTATATTTATCGTTCTGACAACGACAACTTTAAAGCCTCGAATTAGGTTCTTTTGTTCTTCTATTGTTTGGGATAACTTGTAGATTTCCTCATGGAGATCATTAATCATGAGCTCTTGGGACGAGTTCATACCGTAACAAGTTCTTAACTGTGCGCGGAATCTCCTTACGTCCGGGAAATAAAATATAAACTCAATCTATGACGAGTATTTCCTCCAAGGATAGAAAGTGTACATGATCACACAAAAACATAATGTTCGAGTCTTAATGAGTGTAGTGATTTTGTTACTTAGCTATGTTGACAAGGCAAATCCACAATACATTTTAAGATATTTTAAAAACCACAATTTATTACAATGTAAACTAAATAAAAGTCCCAAAACTTTGCCTTTCACCAGTTCCACGAGAGAGTAAATTTCACGATTTAGTGTATTAATATATCATTACATAGGGCCTAGCTTAGCCTAGGCATCCTTTAATTGTAATAGCTGGTATATGACCATAGAGGTATGCTAGCCAAAGCCTTTTTCATTTGAAATTTCAAGATTTAATACCACCGGATGGGACGCTAGTAGCCAATCAGATACAGTTTTATACGGTCTAGCTAGAATTACTAGGCTAGGTCTTTAACTGTACTAGCTAGTATATACGCTGGCAAAAGCTGCATGGTTCCAGTAGTACTAGCTTGAGTAGGGCTAGGCTAGGCTAGCTCCAGGTAGAAGGCCTACTATTAGTATTAGTGGGCCCATGTGTCGTAATCTTCTGATGTTTTTAATTTTTTCTTTCATACTTTGTTCAATTTACGACAATCTCTAAAAGTTCTTCAAAATCGAAAACCCCTCGCTCAGATGATTACGTTTCTTTTTCACAAACTCGATCGTGTTTACGACGACGCAATTCTAACGCATGCGTAAAACTACATAATTTTGGGCGTCTCAGGGTTGGCACGGCGGGTTTACGAAAGGGCCAATTGCACTTCCGATTCTCTCTATAGAATACGTCAAAAAGCGAGAGCATTCCAGCGGATGCGATCTACAACATCTGAATTTGTCAACTAAAAAGAAGTCGTCGAGAAAATTGTAATCTGTTATGAGAAATAGTCTCTACTTTTCATTTTTTTTATCCTTTTGTGTAAAACGACATTCATGCCAATATTTTTCCATGGTTTACAATAATTAGAGTAATGCACATGCATTAAAAAAAAGAGTACAATTTTGCCAGAAATGGGGCCTTATCATTGCAGTTATAGTTCGAGTCTATTTTTTCTAACTTTATAGTTTGTTCTTGCTCTTTCTGAAAAAGGCTCTGATTTTGTTTTTTTTTTCTTTTCTTCTATGCCGTTTTCTGACCGGCACTTTGGTCACTTTCCGTCCTCGGGTCTTCTTCAAACTTTTTCTAAGCCAAGACCATATCAAAGATGTGCATAATAAGACGTCATTCTACATATATTATATAATATTAATAAATGGGTAATTACATTTTTAGGTTAACACAACTTGCGTTTTTTAAATCCTTTGAAACTAGCTACATCTATGTTACACGAAATTACTGTAAAATATATGAACAATTTTCGCTTTGACTCATAAAATTAATTAACGTAAGCAACTTATAATATATAGAAATCATCGCAGTGTCAGGTTTTTAAGTGGGATGTTAAGGACTCCCATCATCATCATAGCAGTCGTAGGTGGAGTCTCAGTGACTTCGAGTTTTTTACTTTATACTTTTTTGATGATTTTATAAATTTGTGTTTGTAATATCAACATCTCTTATCTTATCTTATCTTGTTTCCTATGTGATTTAAGGTTTTTCGAATAACTTCATTCATTCATTGAACAATTGTACTTCACAATAATAATTTTATCCTAATACAACATCGTTCGTTTGTAAAGTTATGCTTACTATATCAGTTTATGAACTTAATTATGTTGGTTAACATAGTCATATAAGGCGGTATTTGTAATGTATATTGCGTGTACTATAATGCTTCTTACACACCTTCAACTCTATTCCAATAATTATGGTTATTTTATTTCCAGCTTAATCTAGAAGGAAAAGCTACTTTTACGGTGCGACCCGATGAAACAATTGATGGGAATTGGTTTAGTAAATTTAAAGGCGCAAGACTAAGAATAGAAGCCGTGGTTACAGAAAGAGCAACCGGAGATCGAGAAAACATGACTGTTACTAGCACCAAATTTGTCGAGCAAGTGTATACATTCAAGAGAGATCGAACAGTCAGCCACTTTAAGAAAGGAACTACATTCGATATCAAGGTATTTATTTTCAAAATATTTGATAGGATTCTATAGATGTTTAAAATAGACAATTATAACCTTAACGTTATATGAAAAAATAGCAATATTGAAATCGTAGTTTCTCTATATATAGAATACAAATTATATACAATCTATAAAAAACAGAGATTTGTAAATCCACAAAAGTATGAAAGTCTGTGTAGGTGCAGGTAGATAACTCCAAGATAACACTGTTTAAACAGTGACAGTAACAAAGAGTGCACGGTAATATAAACTATAATAGTTTTCATGCCGTGATATTCTTCATTTTTTGTAATGAATTATTATTATTATAAGTTTTTTTTATACCGAACAATCAGCAGCGGATTTCGAATTGGCGTAAACGTGAATTAGCCATATTATAAAGAAATATACAAATACAAATACAATATTTACGCATAATGTGGGAGATTTAATCCTATAAGAATTTTAGTCATATTTATAAAAATTATATAAAGATAAAATATAGATTTTATTGAAAATTCTTATATACGAATGTAATCAGAGGAATTAAATAATACTTTATGAAAGGTTTATAACAGGGTTGGCATAAAAATCGGTCGGAGTGCCAAAGTTAATTTTGGATTTAACCCTGAGGGCCGCACCCAAACTTTTATGTTTCGAGTGTGCTTAAAAAACCTCCAAGCACTGCTTTTACACCACTTTCCCGTTTTAATGTTACTTTTTATATATGATCAGTGTAGGGCCGTAAAAAACAAGGTTTATTCTAGCCAATGTTGTTTGTTCAAAAACATATTTCTTCATAATTGATAATAGCTCATCATTCGCTTAATTTATTTTCTATAATAATAACCACATTAGTCGTTATAAATACTGTATCGAGATTTTTCAGCAAATTATCAATTCAATAAAATGTAGTCATTCTTATAATTCAATTTTAAAAATACAAACCAAATGCTAAATAAATATATAATTTGAAAATCACATTGCTTAATTTTTTTAATATAAATAATTGTTTTGAAGTAATATAATAAAACAATTGTTAAAACATAAGATACTGTCTTATAATAGGCCAAAATAAATTTAAAAATAGTATTTAAATCGAATAAATAAAAATAAAGTGTGTAAGTAGGTTAAAAATAGTTAATATAATTCAATGTCAAACATAAGAAAAGAACAGTACACTTATATTACCAGCGACCTCAAAATAATAAAGTTTCAAAGAATTATATAATATAACGTATTATTTTATGAGTTGATTTGTTTGAAAAGGTATATTAAAAATAAAACAAAAATATTATCTAATAACAAATCTTAATCTCATTATTATAGAGAGTTTGAACAGTCACTGAAAATTTGCTTTATTTAGATAACCATTATAGTTGAGTCCGAGCGAGGGCGGCACCATCTCTTTTAGTGAGAAGCTACCGTACGTGACCAAAACGCGAGAGGATTTCGTACAAATCTTGAACTATCGTTAGTACAGGCGTAGTAAAATAGGCTCCAGTTCGCAATTCTTGTTAATTTATGGCAACAACGTTTTTCTGACTCAGAATTTTATATTGAACAAGAAAAACGTTGGTGCCTAACTTCTCCAAAAGTTCAACTGGCCGCCATCTTGGAAAACAAGATGGCGGACACATCTGGTCAAACATAGTAATATGTGATATAATTCGAAAGCAAATAATGCACTGAATATTTTTTCCCATTACACTAATATGAAAAAAATCATAATATTGGAGATATTCATAATTGAACATGTCATTGCCTGCTGCCATCAGTGGGTGAAAATTTCACTTTTATTGTTATTGTATGAAGGTGGCTGGTTTTCTCGATTCTAATGCTGATATTTTGTAGAGTCTTATGTTTGTAACTAACTTGATACACTGGTAAACACATTCCATTTTTATTCATCTTTTTAATTAAACGATGTAAATTACGATATTTCTTTATTGCATTGAGAGTTTCCTATTAATATATTTTCAAGTGCATGTTAATACAGCTGCAATGTAAAATCAATACATTATCTGAACTACACATCCTAACTACTGAATTATACTATCGCCCTGACGGTAACATCCTGGTTTTTCCAAGTCTAGGCAAAAAACAAAATCGTTTAGCAGACTCCTTGACTGTAAGAGCAATGGTAAATACCGTATTTATTTGAATAAACGTCCTGAAACTTTCTTTGTTAAGAATGGTTTTGATGGGCATTTATTCGAGGGAGGCGTTTATTATCATTATTTTGTGTGTGTGTATGTGTGATTTAGATGTGTAAATACTCAGGTAAACCCCCCTAAATTTCACCACAACACATAATTACTATCAAAATGAAAGAAAAAAAAACTTACTGGAGTAGAAAATTAATAGGATCTGTTGACAATGATGTTGGTTTGTTTACAGTAATTTTGGTTGGTGGGGGCGGGGTTGGTTATTTGAGAAAAAAAAATAAAGGCGTTTATTTCGAATGAGGCTCTAGAGGAAGCATTTATTCGAGGGGAAATTAATTATTCAAAGCGGGATGTTTATTTCAATAAGTATGATAAATATGGTAACAGATTTATCTATGATTAACACTAATTTTCATTTAAAAGTTTTTTTAAAATAAGACTATCTCACACCGGAAACCATCTAGGTGCTTGCGAATCCAGAATTCGGAGTATACAAAACGTGTAACATGAAATTTCTTGATAATGAAAGCTATGACCATAGGTTGAAATAATAATGAATTGTAGATTATTGATTAAACTACGGTAATTACAGGCACTATTGTTTAAACTTTTCAAAATAACGTTCTCTGCTAACACCATCACCATTCCAGTACATCTTTCTAATTTCTCGAAGTGAAAGAAAATCAATGGATGATGTTATTAAAGCCTTTATACATCTTGGCACAACAGGCACAATTTCGCTGGGACAATATCGTTTGGCAGGATCTAGTTGCTACAACTCTCTGTGTTTAAGAATTCATTTGTTGAATCCAACAAAAAAATATCTGCCTACAAAATGAACGGACATAAGTGATAATGTTTCTGTCCGGGTAACTTTTAATACATTCTTGTTGCTTAAAACAACCTAACATAGAGAAAACTATAGATGTGCTAGATACTAGGATTTTTATAAAATAGTATTAGTTCTCTCCATTCGTATCAAGGGCGTCGCTCCGTGGTTGAAAGTGTGAGGTGGCGACTAAATGCAACATAAGCAATCCTTAGTTGGAGCCAGGGACTGCCTAGGGAACCGATGAGGGTCCAGGGGCGAAGCCCAAGGAAGCTCTGGCGCCTATAGCCTTTAATAATCGTTTCTAATTGATTTTATAAGTCAATCGTGACGTCATCAATGTAACTCCCAATATTATTTGCCTATTCCCCAGCGTCCAATAATTTTTGTATTATTGGACGCTCGGCATGATTTTTTTAAGGTTCGTGTGCAAAAAAAAATTCTTCATTTTTTCGTCACCCCCGCGAATACATCGCACACCGCGATAAAAATTGAATTGTAATTGAAAATTACTTTCGTAAAACAACCTTAATTAGAACCCGAAGAAAGTTACTTAAAATTCAATATTAAGTATGAACAATTAAGGAATTCATTGAATCAATGGATCCTCATAAACACAACAAACTGAACGTTTAATAGAAATACTCTAGACCTATTTTAAAGACTCAAGGAAAAATTTAGATATAGGCCTACGACCAGGCAGGCCGCCCGGGCCTCCTCCTGCTATACTAGGCATAGGCCGTAGCCTGGCCTAGTTATGAAATCATCGCACGATTTTACCTGTCTGCATGCACCGACCAAAAAGGACGTCAGTGACCGTATTCCCTCTCGAATGATGAAATGTTTATTTCTTTGACGAAAGTCTATCAAGCATTACAAACAAGTTCTTTCTAACACAATAGTTATTCATCGTATCCTCCGTACTGTACTGCTGATGTTAGATGAGTTAAACGCGTACTACAGGAGCAAAAATAAGCTTACGCACAGCTAAATGTAAATACGCACACGTATACTGATCATACCACTATATCAACTAATGGCTGCTACAACAGTTGGTTATAAAAACTAAAATGAAAAGACGGCGATTGACTTATAAAGCAATTAGTAGAGCATGCAACGGAAAATTATTATACTTTAATTATTATACATTCAAAAATTTCCTTCGGGCCTTGCAGGCCCTCAGGAAATTGTTTCAAGCATTAAATCTAACCTTCGTACAATAATTTTCCTATAGTGTCTATGCGGAGCTCTACTAATTGCTTATTAAGGAATGCAATTAACTTTTATTTCCATTCTACATTTTCAAAATACAGTGGCAGATCCAGGAATTTGAAATAGAGCTAACCCCCGGAGAGGGATGTTTACAGATGGAGCCCACCATGGTTGAGACTGAGTAGAGAAAATTTATGATTATGGCACTTCTAGTTGGCCGGAAATGGCACTCTCAGACTAAATTTGAATAATTTTCATTTTTCTCCACTTTGCCCCTTGAATCTGAAACTAAAATACTCATCATAAAAAGTTTTTAAATTATTCTGGTAATCATAATTATGCCCGCTTATATGTTTCGTGCAAACTAACATTGATAAAAATAATGATTTATTATCTACTGATTAGCATGTACAGTACTTTTAATATCAATCAAGGTTTTTCCATTTCTCCTCTTTTTAAATTTCCCTTTTGTGCAAGTAGATTGCGACTACACTATTGTTAGTGGAAATACTAACGTCTAATTTAAAGATGGGAGAAGGAGAATTTACGATCAAACAGGACTAGGGAATAGGAAGTACACAAAACATTAGTTAGCATTTTGATTTTTACAAACATAATTAGTATTTTGTACAAATACATTACCAAGTTAATGTAGTTGTGACTTGACTAAGTTAGCAGGTTTCTGATCTTTAAACAGCAGAATAATTCGAATGGCTTTAGGCCTATCACTTTCTTCGTCGGTTCCTCTAGCCTAGTATCCCGTTTTTGTAGCTGGAAATTGGAATTGATGATAGTTTGAAGGCAGGAACACACTTAATCTGATTGCTACACAAAAATAACTGTTTACCATTACACTAAAACTAATGAATAAAACGATAGAATGATTAAACTTCTTTTTTATGTTCTAGAGTATAGATATTTTCTAAATCACCTACACATATACAACCATGTTAAACTGAGATAAACATTTTTTATGTTACCCTAATGCTTTTATTTAGATTGACGTATTTCATTCCGATGGAACTCCTGGTAATAATGTTTTAACCAAAGTAGATGCATATGGCATCAATGATCAAGGAGTAAGAAGGAAACTAACGGGTGCACAAGACTTTTCTCTTGAGAGAAGTAGTAATGAATATGGCCAAGTGGACTTTAGAGTAGACGTAAATCAAGATACAAAATCCATCGAAGTGACAGTGAGTATGGTATTACGAAAAAGAGCGTTAGGCAATATATTTCAAATGAGCCTTATTGTTTTTGTTTTTACAATTTATACTTTTCACTTCATATCTATAGATTGAAACATTGGATGCTGCGTTTCCGAAAGAGGCAAATGGCCACTACGAGTTCACTATTTCAGCAATTGAAAGTCCAAGTGGTGCATACTTGCAAATACGAGTTCCTCATGGAGAAATTCCGGTATTAATATTTTTTATACTTTTACAGAAAAGTTAAGAAAAGAAATAGCGAAACAAATAAAACAATAAAATTATACATAAATATAAATTGAAGAATAACAAAAAATAAAAATTAATAATGAAAATAAAACATATAGTTAGATTTTTATGTAATTAAAATATGTAAAAAAATATAATAAATCTACTCAGATTTAAAAAAAATAATTCTAATAAAGTAATATATAATAATTAGAGAATTTAAATAGTGTACTTAATTAAAAAATTGCTGAACTTACGGTGCACGGCATAGTTGCATTACAACTCTTGTGCAAAACCAATATTAATTGAAATTGCATTAAGTTATACATTTATTTATATATAATAGAACTTTGCTGCACTTTTATTAAGATGAACACAGGTTGAAGCCGTGTTGGTGTTTGCTACTTATGGGAATATAAATGTGTAAATTGTATTTTTGTCTTAAATCATATTATTTAAACGCTTGTTTTTGGGTCCGCTAAAGGTGGACCCCAAAACCTCTCACGTTGTTCTTTTTGTTGTTATTACCAAACTTTAAAAGCATCCAGTTTTGAACGGACATGCAGCAATTGTTGTACACGTAAACTACAGGTTATTCCAAAAAACGTTCATGGCCCTTTTTAATTTGGATGCCCCTACATCTTCAAAACAAAAGAGGGGTTTTAGCATTACATTACTCCATTACCACTAATAGGGCATGTCGCAGGAATGGCGCATTCAGTTAAGGATGTTTTTTAAATAACCAAAATTCGTGAGTTCGAATCACGTCTTGGTATTCCATTTTCCCCAATTTTAAGACGTTTTAGTTTTGTACAAATGAACGTTCTAATTATTAAAAAAATTTTGCCTTATTAGCTCTTCCATTTTTTGTCAATCAGCTCCCAAATATCTGAGAATCTTCCATATACAAACGGAAAAAATGTTTCTTCATTGTAAATTTGTACATTTCTTTATCAGGTTAGACAAAATTTTGAAGTGGAAATAGTGAAGTCAGGATTAGCAGAATTGACTGGTCTTAACTACGTAGTAAGTTCATCATACTAATGATCATGTTATTGTATAAAATTATTAAACTTTGTTGTTTAATAATAGGATAAGACAATAGAATTAGCCAGAACTACATTACTAATCATGTCACTTTTTAAAAACTTAGGTCTTTGGAATTCTTGTTGCTATTACTATTAATAATAAGCCTTTAGTCTTGGTATCTTATTGCACTAAGGAATATAGAAGAAATAAGTACTTCCTTAAACTGCATAATTGAAATTAAATAATGAGAAGATGTAAAAGGGGAGGGGCAACATTCCAAGGGGAGAGTACCGGGAGAAAATGTCCTCGAGCAAGACTAATATATTAAAATTTGAGGACTACAGTTGACATTACGAAAACAATACCAGTCGTACTGAATGTGCTACTCACTCGGCCCTCTGGGGTAAGTTAGCAAAATCAACGTGAAATTTAAAGCATCGAACCTATGGTTGTAGATACCGACTCGCAAAACCAGTATTTTCCAAATTTCACACTATATCATTGATCATGTTTAAATATTGCAGGTTGTAGTAAGAGGGAAAATAGTTCAGGAAATGTCAGAAATAGATTCTAAGCTTGGAACTCTAAGGACAATCCGAATTCATATAACAAGTGACATGGTTCCCAGTGCAAGGCTAATCGTATATTCATTTGCAAATGACAATAATGTAATTGTTGCCGACTCAATTTTGTTGGATATCGTTAAACAATGTGAATCCCAGGTGAGTTCCATTGGATATTTCAAATGTTAATGTAATCTTTATATTTTAACCATCTTTCTAGAGGATGGTCCGTATAATTCCTAACTTCAAAAAAAGCTGATAATGAATTGTTATATTAAAATAAATTCAAATTCTGATACAAATTGTTTAATCATAGTAATACAAAAGTACAATAGTGACTTGTTTACTTTTTGCAAATATGTATGGTTAAACTTCACATTTTATTTAAAACATACTTTATTATATTTCTCTCCCATAAAACTGTTCTACTGCTAAAGGCAAAAAAAAAAAAAAAAAAAAAAAAAAAATCCGAAATTTTAATAAATCCCTTTTAACAGGAAGCGTCTTAATTCTGCAAGCATGTAGATTGTGAGTATATCTGCCTTAGGTTAATTAATTTGAGGAAAGTTTATCAATTTCACTATTCTTTATTTTACTTTTAATTTGTTTAGTTATATGCTATGTAAAAAAGGTTCTTCTTTGTTAATGTATACATTTCATATTTTCTGGTTTTAAACGGAAGGTCATACTACGCATGCCTATGTGTAGGTATTATAAAGGTATAGCAAAAAACATTAGGAAACATGCCTCTCCTTATTCTGAATGGTTAATATCTTTTTCCAACTAAGCAAACCATAACTATTTGCCTTGCCTTACTAATACACATTTTAACTATAGCACCTCTTAAAAAATGGTTATTTAATTATATTTTGTTCCAGATAATGGATAGTTTCTAAAATTGTAAACAATATGTATAACCCAGTGGTATCGTCAATTCAATACTATTAATGTGTAGGAATTTAGTGCCCTTTTTTTAAATTATAGGCTTAATGTACACGTTGATTAATACAATTTAAAAATTAGATGCAATGTTATAGCCAAAGGAACTTATTAAAATAGCATTTTAAATATATACCACAGTGAGCATTATTTATATACTAGTTACCATGCCAACATACACTAGACACCATATCAACTTTTCTTAAAAGGTACATCACTCCTAAAAGTAGAATAAAGTTATTTTTCAATCTGCGTTTATGTACAGAAAGTATGATTTTTACATGCATTGTCGTTCAGTGTGTTTATTTACAAGCATGCTATTTTTATTGATTAAAGCTAATTGTCAATCCGGATGATTCAGATAAAAGTCCAGGAGAGAATGTAGAATTTACAATCGTTGCCGAACCTCGGAGTCGAGTAGCATTGCTAGCCGTTGATGAAGCCGTCTATTTTCTTAAAGATTTCCACCGACTGACAAGAAAGAAGGTTAAATATAAATCAATTCTAGTTTCTTAATGTATGTTGTTCAACTACGAGTACAAACATACAACCCTCCCCCTACAAAACACACACATATCTATATCAGACGACTGAACGCCTCATGTCTGTTTTTCCCGATACACCGCTTACAACCTATCGCAGACCACCTACCTTCATGATATAGTGAAATCTAAGTTTAAGAGGCAAATTAACTCTTGATTAAATACAGATAAGGCTATAAATTAATTGTATCACCAAAAATGTAATTTGTCCAATATTGTAATCATTGTGGTAAATATCAAGATGTCTTGAGAAACAAAAGCACTCTTTGTATGTTAATGACACAACACAGATGAATCATTAAAGCCAAACATTTCAATTCAGCTGATCGCTCTTTTTCAATTTTAGAGTTTATTGCAGTAGACCATAATGCCAATTAGAGCGACAAAACTCATAAAGATTAAGATAACCACTTTAAACAACTACACCTTTTGGGCTCAATATTAGGAACGTTTTTTTCTATTTTTTTTTTTGGTTACAATTTACAGAAAAAAAATTTATTGCATGAGAACAAAAACTGTTCAGTTTGTGGTTGTCAATTTCAGATGTTTCAACGAATGGAAAGTCTTGACCTTGGCTGTGGACCTGGAGGCGGGGAAAATAGTCGGGAAGTATTCGAAATGGCGGGTATGGTTGCCATGACAAATGCAAACTTTGACAGAACCAATAGCCGGGAAGGTATGTAAACCCTTATATTATTTTATATATAAAACAAGATAATCTGAGATTACAAACCCTTGCCCTGTGGAGCCTTTTCTATGTACTGAAATTTAATGGCCTTTGGTCGATCCGCTCGAGTCTCTGTGGCCTTGCCAAACGATGCCTAACATAAGCACTGGATCCAAACATGCTATCTAATTATCGATCTGTGTTCAATATGTCATTTTTCTCTCAAGGTAAATTGAGAAGTTTGCTATGATTAGCATAAGCAATTTACTTGTCTAATGTATCTCGTCATGATCTTTTACTGTCAGACCACATCATAGCACTGAAACAGCCCTACTTAGGAAAAAGCATGATATCATGCAACATATTGCTCAGCGGAGAGGTGTATGGTTGGTCTTGTTGGATCTCAGTGCAGCCTTTGATGCTGTTAGGGGTCATTCAAGTATTATGTAATGCATTTGTTGGCAAATATTGACACCCCATATAACTGAATATCATCAGTTATAAATGGAACATATAACTGATGATTATCATCAATTTCATTTAAGACTAAGGATGCTGAATTTTTACACACTAGTTTACAGAAGCTAAGCAATTGTATTAGTGAAAGAAAGCAGTGGATGAGTAACAACATGCTGAGCTAAATGAAGAAAGACATCATCTATTACATTGCAGGTGTGCGGCAAGTCCATTAAGCCAATCGACAATATTCGGAATTAGGGTGTCATTTTTGACTCTTTAATAACAATGTCAACTCATGCTCAGAATTTTTGTTGTAGCCTGCAATCTCACATTCGGAATATTTCACAAATTCGAAAATATTTTGACACCCAGCTGTGCCATACATTTGTCGGAGCTCTCATAAGACTTGAATATTGCAACTCTCTACTCCTAGGACGGATCCATGAAGTTAGATTTAGATCACCCTCAGAACTTGGCTGCCCAAGTTGATCTGTGGTGGTAGAAGGTTCGACCATGCTTCGCCATATTTTGCGTCAACTACACATGCTGCCAGTGCGTGAGAGGGTTAAATTCAAGGTCTTTATGACGGTTTATAAGTGCATTGCCATTCCTAAAGCCAATTCAACCTTAAAATGCACCTCTTCAAAATTTCTTTACACGATTTGAAATTTGTATTGCTGCGAAGCAGCCAATTCATATTCTTGAGAGCAATTTGACCTCTGAAAGGTCATTGTTTGTCAAAAAACAATGGCCTAAGACGACTGAAAAGCGGAGTTTCCTTCTTTCGTTCTGCCGGGTAAAATCAATTACTTTAGGCGACGTTTGTAGACTAACCAACACGTACCAACGTCCGCATGTCGCGCTAGCCTTATCCTACTCTAGGCCTAGACAAGCTAGGATGGTATAGGCCTAGCCTTGAAGGGACGAATGTCCCAATGAAAAACAACGTCGCTCCTTGATAGCTAACATTGTCTATTTGACATCACAATAATTCATTATGAGACCTATAGTTGTTTTTTGAATTGTACTCCACAAATCTCAGCCGATACCTCGCACAACTCGAGTAACGTCTCGTATCTATTGTCATGACGTCATGGCTCGCTGGCTCACACTTGCGATGTCTCGCACTTGTGATCAAATTACACGCTGGCTCGCACTTTGGCAACACTCTTTGGCAGTCAACTCGCCCCTAGAAAACCCGCCCTTGGAAACTTTTCCCATAAAAAAATGTACACCTCCCAGACCATGCAGTCTTCACAATAAAAATTGTAACCTTTTGTAATCAACTACGTTTTCCACATACATAGAAATCTTTGAAACTTTATTTAAAAAAAAAAACCTAAGCCATAATTCACCACTATAGACACTTTTTGACAAAAATGAAAAATTACGACTTTGTTACCCAATGAGAAGTGTTCTAATATAGACAATGGGTCGTGTCTCATATTATTTGTTATATTTTTATTATTCATTGTTTTCACTTGACTCGCATAAGTAATTTTGTTCGAAGAACATTTATATGTAGTTGTACTTCGCAGCACTTCACTTGCAATTTGCAATTTCTAGTTACTATTACTATTTTTATTCTTAATAAGGAGTAGCTTAAAACTGTTATGTTCAATTATTTAAGAAAATTATTATGTATTGTTTGTTTGATTAGGAGTTAAAAGATTAGCGCAAGCTAATTTTTGAACTAATTTTTACTGATTTATAATTAAATTGAACTTAAATTACTATAAGTAAACGTCAACTGTAAGATGTGGTCGCGAACAAATGTTGGTCCAAACGACGATGAAAGTAATTATTTTTCCCTGAATTGATCTGATATATGGATTGCTATTCACATCCCGTGATCTGCAACTTGATGATCTATTTTGTTACACTTTTCCAGACCGGTAGGTTTCGAATCCAAGGCGTTCATTGAGTACCATATAATAATGTTTGATGTGCCATAGAAAATATCACTTAACAACATTGTCTTTGATGTATTTACTTTACTTTGCCTACTTCAAATTCTTGTGTCCACCACGGAGGAGGCTGAGGTGCAAAAATTTGAGGAAATAGTTCAAGCTGGCCGGAAAGGACACTCTTATAGTAAACGTCATCATCATAACATCACCATTATGATCTTTTATCAGCGGATTTCGGCTATCATAGAGATATAATTAATCTGAATTGTACCATAGAAAATATAACTTAATTGTCTGATGTATTTACCTTACTTTCCGACCGACGTTCAACGTTCATTGAGTAACTCTATTTTGAATTGTGTCCATAGGCTTTGAAATAATTAATTATAAACATAGATAAAATCATGAGAATGTATTTAAAAGAAATAGTGCAGTGGTAGTACCGGCTGAGGAGGGTGCAGGGGCATTTTCAGTCAGACAAGTCCTGGACCCCCTGTCGTCCGACGTGACACGACGAGGTCGTCGGCCCAAAAATATTAATTTGCCTATCCAAAACGTTTTTTGGTAATAAATATTTTCCTGTTTTTTTTTTTTACAGAAAATGTTCAATTAAAGCAAATAGAAATACATGTATTCTGAATAACATGAGACCAAATTCAACTTCCTTTAATAAATACTAACAGAGTAACACAGTTTTCCTGATTTTTGCAAAAATTTTACCTATTAACCGATGTTTTTAAAGTAAAATTAAATATATTTGTATGGATAAAGGATAAAAAAATTATTCAACACAATTTGATAAATATTAACAGAGTTACGGATTTCTACTGGCTTTGTTAAAATTTTACTAAAACCGTCTTTTTTTAAGTTAAATTAATTATTTTTTTATGCACAAACTATTAGAATTAAAAATAATTTTTTTTGTGATTTATTATTGTCACTTTAGCTATCATTTTCCACCTTTGAAAAAGTGAAAAAAAATCGATGGCTTGGAAAAAAAGGAAATTATAAAAAAAAACATGTTTTTTGGGCAAAAACCGATATTTTTGGTAATAATTTTTTTCCTGGTACTTTCTGAGAAAAATGTTTCATTACAGCGAATAAAAACATAACCCTTCTGAACATTTTGGCACCAAAATGAACTCTCTATCACCGATAGTAACTAAATATAGAGGGTTTGTATTTTTCCCCAAAAATTGATGCTTTTGCAAAACAGCGGCCATTTTGGACCCGGGGACCCAATTTTACGATTGCTACATGGCCAAAATCGATGACCAAAGGTATCAGAAGCATGGAAATACAGGTCTATGTATCAGAAGCATGGAAATACAGGTCTATATATCACAGAGTATGTACACGTAAACCATATCTAGCTGCTGGCCTAATATTGTGGCCTAAAAACACAATGTTTTGCCATACTAAGCTATAAAAATTCTCCCCATGAACCCTACCAGGGATTTATGTTCCGTGACCCTGCTGTTGGACATGTCGGACTCCTCGTCGGCATATTTCTGGAGCCACCACTGAAATAGTGTACTGAAAAGTTTAGTATAGCTGAATGAGTTATTAGCGTATTATAGTCCAATGCCTTTAATATTTCACAGAATATGTACCAACGTATAGATGCGGTGTAATCTGTTGATATGAGTATTTACCTTCCCCTTAACTTTTCAAAACATAATGATTTCTCAACTTGACCAAAATCACAATTTTTGCTTCACTACTGATTGAAAAGTGTTTCTCTCTCTGCAATCTTATGCCGAACGCCATAATTTATCGTACTGTCCATGGAATACATACGGTACCGTAC